GGAGCACTGCTGCTCCTCGTGGCCTGATCCTGGGTGACATCCTGGAGAACGGAGCTGCACTCCCATTGCCAGCCCTCTGCTCCGATGGCACAAACGCCCCGTGGCTGCCCTGCCTTCAGCACACAGCTCACCTGCAACCTCTTTTCACCCAGTTTTACTCTTGTGCCTTTTCTTTCCGTTTTTCCAATAGGTCTTGGGTCCCAAACTTTTCTTTGTGCTGGTGCTTCCCTCAGTGCCAGGACCTATTCCCTGGATTTGGGCTGAGAAATGCTTCACCCTTCACGTTTCAGGGTTCAATCCACTCTGTCAAGTGCTGTCTGTTTACACTCCTGTGACTTCCATCTTCACTTCTTCAGCACAGTTTGCACTGCTGATTTTTAAGGCAGGGAATGCTGTGGAAATACATAAAAGGCTTTTTTTCTTGCTTCACTTGGCAATCTCTACTAAAACTCTAAATCTGTGTTTCTGAAATAGCTGCAGAACAGGGTAGGGGTTTGTTCTGTTCCCTTTGTGACACCTCCCAAAAGCACCCCTGACACCTGATGTCACAGGAAAGCGCCCAGCAGAGATGTCTTTAAGAAAAGTGACCACTGGAACTTTTCAGCACTTGTCACAGCTTGAGCTAAAGCCACTGCCTGGATTAGTCCCATTGCCAAACTGGACTGATCACAGTGGTAAAGTGTCTGGGACTTCTGGAGAAGTCTTGGACCCTAAATTGTTGTATTTTATATATTGACCTTTATAACAGCTTCTGACTTCTGTCTGTTCTGGCAGTTCTGTGTGCAAAGGCTCACTGAAAAACAGGGACAGAACACAAAAAGAGGGCAGATTTCTAGATATCTTTGTATATGTTGGACATAATTTTTTTTAAATACAGAATTTGATTTTTATTTATATTATATACAATAAACAATTCAAATCCTGTCCATTCTCATATGGAACAGTTAAACAAACACAGGATTGTATAGAAAACAAACTTTATGGTACTAGACTACTCTTCCCATCTTCGACTAGGGGGTGTGAACATGACTGGGAAGCCTATGGCTAAAAAACCTAAACTTGAACTCTCTGAAAAACTTCAACTGGAGGTGGAGAAGACTTCGGGGACACCTGTTTTCCTAATGGCAAAGGGGTTCCTAACACCTATGGGCGGGAATGTCCCAGTGCCCGGGCTCAGCACTGATCATACATTCCCTGCCATGTCCAGCAAGCCCAGAGCTGAGCTGGGCTGGAGAGCCAGAGGAGAGGCGAGAAGTGGAGTCTCCTCCTCTCCTGAGGGCCAGGCTGCCTTCGCCTCTTCCCTGCGGGCACCGGCCTCTGCCGGGAGCGGCGGCGCCTCCTCAGGGCCCGGCTCGGCGGCAGCAGCTCCTCGGCACGGCCGGGCAGGGGCCGAGGGCTCTGGCTCTTCTCCCGCACCGCAGCCCAGGGAGCCGTGGAAGGGCCACAGCGGCCGCAGGGGCCGAGCCTTTGGCCTCTCCTGCACAGAGAGCCTCGGGCCCGGCCGGGCTGCCCCGGGCAGAGGCTGCAGCGAGCAGAGCTCCGGCCGCCCCTGCCGGGGCTCCCTGGGGCTCAGCCGGGCCCCGTTCCTGCCCGGGCCCGGGCTCAGCCCCGCTCTGCCTCCGCGCCTCGGCCAAGGGGCTGCCCCGGAGCCCAGCGCCCTCGGGCCCCCCAGCTCTGCTGCCCCGGGGGCTCTCAGCCCTGTCCCGCACCCTCCTGGCCCGAGGCCTTGGCGGCCCCCGGCCCGGCTGCCCCAGGCCCTCCCTCACCTCTCCCCAGCAGCTCCCGAGCCCTTTGCCCGGGAGCCAGCGCAGGTGAAGGCCCTTGAGAAGCAGGGCCAGGGCTGGCACATCCACGGCAGCGCCTCCAGGACCAGCAGTGTCCCTCACTGGCGCCACGTCCTGCTCTTGCAGGAGCTCGGGAAGCGCTTCCCAGGTCCCGTGTCCCGGCAGCGGGGCTGGAAGGCTCCAGGGGCTGCACCAAGAGCAGCAGCACCGAGAGCTGCAGCAGCCGGGAGAGCCCCTGGCTGCCCATGGTGCTGTGAAGGCCGAGCTGCCGCCCTCAACAGGCTCTGCCCGTCCTTCCCAGCCCACTTCTGCCTGGGCTCTGGGCACGGCGACGGGCTGGGGACACTCATCAGCCACCACGCTGTCCCCAAAGGCTGTGATGAATCACGGAATCAGTTGGGGTGGAAGAGCCCTGAGTCCAACTGGGACCCAGCTCCCCCATGGGAACCAGACCAGAGCTTTCAGTGGCCCTCCCAGGCTTTGCTTGAACACTTCCCACCACAGTTAATCTCCCACCCCCCTGGGCAGCCCATTCCAATATCTAATCACTCTTTCTGGGTAGAAATTCTTTCTAGGGTCCCGTCTAAACCTCCACTGGCACAAGCCTGGAGGGTCTGTGGCTCCAGGCCAGCTGACCTTGGATGGTTGGGATGCTGGGGAAGGGAAACTTTTCCTCTCCCACCTTCCTCACCAAGGGCTGCAAGCAATGACTATTTTGAGGAGGACAGGGCTTTCCTTAACTGGCCTTCCAACTGATGCTGTTCCCTCAGTGTACCTGTATTTCTCTCAAGTACACACCTCACAAGTGGAAAAGCTTCAGTCTTAATAACCAGTCTTAATATGGGAATATAAATCTCCCTTCCTAGTATTTTTGTTCTGCTTTTAGGTAAGACTTATATCAACAATCAAAGATTTTGTGATTGATTATTACATCTTTGCCTTCACTGGAGGCAGCATTCCCGTTCAGTGGATATAAATTATAATCATTCAAATCACATCATGTTTTAAAACACTTTACTAGTGTTTTCAGTGGGAAAAAAAGTTGAATTTTAATGCCACATCTTTGCTGTCAGGGTTTGGAACTGACTCCTTTGTAGATGCTTGCCTTGATGCCTCCTTATTGCTGAAGTTGACAAAATGTAATTCTAAAAGTTTTCTTAGATTATGAGAAAAGGATTTAAAATCTTTTGAAGCCTTCAAGACTACAAGGACATGCCTCAAATACACCGCAAATTATCTGAATCCTGTCTCATTCTCCTGCTTCATTAATCCCTGAGCAAAGTGGGCCTGCCTGAGTTAACACTGCTGTTGCCATCTGCCGGTGCTAATGCATTGCCAAACAATTCACTTTGGAGATATTTCCCTGGGTTTTACATTCCTAAAGCATGCCCCTTATCTTGGAAGATGCACTGTCATAATTCTTTATTTCCAAAGTTACCAAAACTAGTTTTATATGTCCATTGCTTTTAAGACTTTCAATGCTGCCAAAAAGAATCAACTAAATTATTTGTTGGTTTTTTTTAATTGAAGAAATATTATTGTCATTGCACAAAGTTTCTTATATGAGCACCATGTGAACTTCTAATTTTGCTGTGATAATCCAATGAGCAGTGGGATTGATTTGGGATACTCCATAATAGTTTGTGTATTGTCACATTTCCTGCCTGAGAAAAACCAGCCTGTTTATTCTGAAAGGCTGTGCTGCAGATGCCTATGAAATAATTCTGCGTGTGAGACAAGAGCTGTTTTCTCACACAGGCACAGCTCTGTGAGCACAGTCACCCTGTTTGACAGCATTTCATCAGTGGCTGCCATCCCTCACTGTGGCCAAGACCCTTGGAGGGCCCAGCTGAACTAAAGAAATGTGAGAATGCTGTAAAGCCCAGAGCAGTGGCTGCAGTGCCTTTCCCCTGTACCGGGCCAACAGATCCACACTTACAGTGCCAGCGTTTAGATATGGAAGGGATAAATCTGAGAGCAATCCTTCCTGCAGTTCTTCAAGGGGACTTGGAGCTGCTCAGAAAGCACGTTTCAAATGTGCTGGTTGGCTTTCCATACCCTTCCAGTATAAAATTTCTTCTGGCATTTTATGTCAGATGTCTAATGGAACACAAAGTGCCTGGGGGAGGTGATGTAGCCTTTGGCAGAACTATCCCTGTGATTACCCAAGGAAGATGTGGACTCCAAATCCCTGCAAAAGTCAAGGCCAGGTTGGATGGGGTTTGGAGCAACCTGGGATAGTGGAAAGTGTTCCTGCCCATCACACGGGGTCAGATGGGATGGGTTTTAAGGTCCCTTCCAACCCAAACCATGTGTGACTGCTAAGAATTGAGATTGATGCCCGAGATCAGCACAATCCCACTGCTCCCTTCACAACACTTTGGAGACCTGGGTGGCTCCAGCCCCTGACAGTGCCCAGGTTGGGCACCCCTGTCCTGGAAGGACATGGAGCCCAGATACAGATCTCCAGAGTTCTGCTCTGGTGTCCTCTGGAAATGTTCTTCCCTCAGAAATCGCTGGCTGCCATCGCGTCTGGTTCTTTGCGCCTCTGCAGCGAAGGCTCCGTGCTCCCCCGGGGCGGGCATTGCCTTCCGCCTGAAGCCCGGCTAAGGTCTCTTAGGGAAAACCCCCGACGGCCGTGGCGGCTCGGGGGGAAAGGCTGGGGACGGAGCGGGCAGCAGGTGACGGGTCCCGAGCCCTCAGGGGGCCGAGGCCGCCAGCACCGCCTCAGCCCCGCCGCCGCCACCCCGGGCCGCCCGCACCGCCCGCGGGGCGCCATGGCACACCACCGGCCGTCACGTGACCGCGCCTCAGCCGCTGCGGAGCCGCCGAGCGGAGCCGAGCGCGGGTGAGGGAGCGGGACGGGGACACGGCGGGACCGGGACCCCCGGTGGGGCTGCGACCGGGGACACCACAGGGTTGGGGCAGGACCCCCCGGTGAGGCTGGGCCCCCGGCAGGCCCCGCTGCCGCCGTCCTCCTCACCTGGGCGCCCCCCGCGTTCCCTGCCGGCCCCCCAGCCTCACGGCCCCGCGGTCCAGGGGCTCTGGCGCACCCCCGCAGAGGCACCCCCTGCTCGGTCGGGTACATCCCGGCCCGTCTGACCCGCCCCGGGCCTTCCCCCCGGTGCAGGTCCCCTGAAAGGGGCTGGAAATGATCTCCCACATGGATCAGAAGGAGGAACTGTGGTTCTCCCACCTCCGCACCTACCGAGGCAAGGCCGAGACAGTGCTGAGCAGCACTTGCGCAGGTAAGGGGACGGTACAGTCATACAGTCACTGAGGTTGGGAAAAGCTCACGAAGATCGTGGAGTCTGACCATTAACCCAGCACATCTGTGAACCTATTGGTGAGTAAAACTGCTCCAGGATTCCCAGACCCTACAGAATGCATAGGATTGGTGATACCAGCATGGCCCACTGTCCTCCCAGTGGTCCCTAGCAGCAGCCAGTGCTGGGTCCCACAGAAGGCACAGGCAGTGGTGTGTTCCTGGGTGCTCTCCCAGGCCCTGGCACTCTGTGACTTCAGAAACTACTGAAGCAGACGTGCAATGTCTCAGTATCTCACAGCTCTCTCTGTATTTTCTTGCTGTCTGAAGTTGTGCATGTTTTAGCATCCATGACAGCTTGCAGCCAGTAGTTCCACAGCATATTCAGCTGCTTTGTGAGTTGCTGCTTTCTTTAGTTTACTTTGAAGCTGCCTTCTAATAGCTCACTTCATGTCAGTTGTTCTTAATTCAGAGCAGATGGTGCAGGAGGGATCCCCACCCACCCCTTGTGGTTTCATAGTCCTCTGCAGTACCCCTATCAGCTGCACCCTTTATCTCCAATACAGAAGCTGTTCTGTGCCTTTTATTATTCATGTCATGCTCTGTATCTCCCTCAGCTCTATTGGAATTTCTCTGAAATGGAGGATCCATCCCTGCCCTTGCACACAGTCAGGTTGTGGGGTTTGAGCTGCAAGGGCACAATTACATTCTCTTTATTCTCTGTTTTTCCCTGACAGTCATTAACATTTGATGAGCTGTTTTGTCTGCCTGGGAGCTGCAGTTTTCATCCATCTGCTCCAAGGGGCTATTCCCGAATGATATAAAGAACATCCTAGGCTCATCCATAGAGGAGCCCTCTATAGCAGCTGCTGGTATAGAGGCTGTTCCCCTCTGCACTTCTTTGTTTACCTGCAGTGAATGTCCTCTGTCATTCCCCTGTCACCTGGTTGGTCAGCATCATCAGGCTCTGACACAGCTCACAGTCAGCCTTTGTGTCTGAATAGCAGGATCATAAACACCTCCCCTTTGCCTTCCTTCCCACCTCATGAAGGTCATTCATCCCACGGCAGCTGAGTTTCCTTACCAGTTTTGGTGAAGGATATGAATGTCTTTGAGAATGCCTTTGGACTCCAGATCTTCCTTCTGCTAAAATTGGTGACATCTCTGAAGAACTCCAAGTGGATTCTCTTGAGAAAGAGATCCAAGGGTACCTTTAAGGTGAAACTTAGGTTTTTCCCAATGTCTGCACTTTTACTTATCTGGAGCTTGACTCAAATCTTAGCACTGGCAGTCTTGGGCACATCAGAGGCTTGAGATCAACCCAAATGGCATGGGCTGAAGAAGAACCACACTCTTCCTTGCTTGCTTATTAATTTTTTGCCAGTTCAGCCTTATACTTCCAGTGTGAATTCCTGAGCATTGTGAACTTCTTCTCCTTTCACTTAAAACACTTCCAGTGAGGTCCTGTCATCATGATTTTGATCAAACCCTTTACAGACAACAGCAACAGAGCAACTTCCCAAGCTCCACTGTCTGACCCACAGAGCAAGGGCTTCAGGCTGGGCTGCCAGAAATGTCCTTATCCTGTCTTTGGATGTCCCTCTTCTCTTTTCCTCCAGATCCCACCTGGATGGAGATATCCTAGTTCCAGTTTCTGTTGCTCTCATGGCACAATTTTCAGGAAAGCTATATCAAGTGTCAATGTCACACCAGGCTGCTGTAAAAGGCATCTCAGGAGTCCACTGTGAAATCCCATTGTGGTGTTTTCTTACACTGCCCAGAAAGAGGAAGTTCAGATGTGATCTTAGATCATCTGGGCTGTAATTCTGGACTCTTCAGTTCTGCAGTGCCTGTCCTGCTGCAAGACAGCACTTTCTTACCCAGTTCTGTGTGCTCTCCCATGCGTCCATGGGAGCAGAGTTGCCTTTCCTCTGTCTCTAGGACTGGCATAAGCCACGTTTGTTGTGTCTGATTTCATCCCTTAGGGCCTCCTTTGGGAGTGCCTCTCTCTGCAGCACCTGCAGCAGCAGATCAGGCATACTGCATTTGTTCTGCTGAGTAGGACAGCTCTTTGTGGCACTTCCATGACTCTCAGTTCAGCTTTTAATAACTCTTCAGATATCCTAGAAGAGCAGCCATCTTTCCTCTTCAAGCACTAAACTTTTACCTATAATAATCCCTTAATTTCAGTGGATTCAGGTTCTGTCAGAGCACACAGGGCTGTTCCCAGGGTTTGTTCCTGTGAACATACTGAGAAATCCACTGTGTAGTTTGAAGGGAAATATCAGAACTTTCTGTAAGAGTCAATCTGGTGAGTCTTTAGAATTTGATCCCTTTTGATTTTCCCTGTTTAAAGTTTCCTGTCTGTGACTTCTATCTAGATTCTCATTTTATTGCAACTGAAGATGGGATTGTGAGCAAAAAAGAGAAGAATCCCCAGCAAGGCATCCCTGGGCCAGCAGAGCTGGAGGTTTCATTCTCGGGACTTTCCAAGGAGAACAATTCCCAGAGTCCTGCAGAGGACCCAGTCATCCCACAGAGGTCAGGAAGGGTTCAGAGACCTCTGAAGAAAAGGCAAAGACGAGTGATGCTGCGTGGGAAAAGTTTCAGGAAGCTGCCAGATGTTATCCAGCAGAGAAATTCCTCTGTGGGGAGACTGATGGTATGTGGGGACTGTGGGAAGAGCTTCCGTGTGAGTTCCAACCTCGTCCAGCACCGGAGAATCCACACTGGAGAGAAGCCCTTCTGCTGCACCGCGTGTGGGGAGCGCTTCCGGCAGCGCTCCCATCTCACCCAGCACCAGAGGACGCACACGGGGGAGAGGCCCTACGGGTGCTCCGAGTGCGGGAAGAGCTTCAGCGTCAGCTCCAAGCTGCTCCGCCACCAGGTGACCCACACCGGGGAGAAGCCCTTCGGGTGTGCCGAGTGCGGGAAGAGGTTCTGCGGGAACTCCCAGCTGGTGCAGCACCGGCGAGTGCACACCGGGGAGAGGCCCTACGCGTGCGGCAGCTGCGGGAGCAGCTTCAGCGTCAGCTCGGCCCTGGCGCGGCACCGGCGCGTCCACACCGGGGAGAAGCCCTACGGCTGCGCCGAGTGCGGGAAGAGCTTCAGGCAGAGCTCCGAGCTCATGAAGCACCAGCGGGTGCACACCGGGGAGAAGCCGTACAAGTGCTCCGAGTGCGGGAAGAGCTTCACCGTGAGTTCGGCCCTCATCCAGCACCGCCGCTTCCACACGGGCGAGCGCCCGTTCGGGTGCTCCGAGTGCGGGAAGAGCTTCACGGTGAGCTCCCACCTCATCCAGCACCACCGCTTCCACACCGGGGAGCGCCCCTTCGAGTGCACGGAGTGCGGGAAGAGCTTCCTGTGGAGGTCGGCCCTGCTGCGGCACCGGTGGGTGCACAGCGGGGAGCGGCCGTACGCCTGCACCGACGGCGGGGACAGCTTCAGGCAGAGCGCGCACCTCACCCAGCACCGCCGCACCCACAGCGGGGAGCGGCCCTTCGCCTGTGCCGACTGCGGGAGGGGCTTCGCCGTGAGCTCCGCGCTCCTGCGGCACCGGCGCGGCCACAGGGCCGGGCAGCCCCAGGCTCTGGTCCCCGCGGTCCCCGTTCGCTCCACTGGCTGCCCTGCTCACGGAGCGGGAAGGCTCTTTCTCTGATGAGAACGAGTCCTGAAGGAGAGAGGTGCAAACAGGGGAGAGCCAGTGCGAGGAGCTGCAGGTCCGGAGAGGAGCGCGGACACAGCAGGGGCAGTTGGTGCTCGGGGGAAAGCTCTTGGGAGAGAAAGGACGTGCTTTGAAAAGGCTGGAATGTGCTTCGTGTATTTCACAGGAAGGTAAATGACTCTGTGCCTACATGTGGACAATTAACAGACTGAAGCACACGGACCATCTTAGAGCCTGCAACACTCGGTCAACAAAAGCTCCTGATCCGTGTTCAGAGGCGCTGAGCTCCCTCCCTCAGCCCACGGGCTGGAGCCCAAGGCCTGGTGCCCTCGGCCCCGAGCGCTGGCTGTCCACGTGTGCCCGCGGTCCTGCAGGGGCTGTGGGGCGGCAGCTGCGCTGGGTGCCGTAGCCGCAGCCGCCAATAAAGCTGCCGGTGCCACAGCACTGCCGCCATCTTTCCTTCTCGGCCGCCCTTTCCGGTCGCCAGGGCGCGGCGTCGCTTGCGCATGCGTGCTTTTGCACTCCGGCCGCCCTCCGGGGGCGGGGCCTTGGGCGGGGCCGGCCAGGTGAGCGGAGGGGCGGGGTCAGGGACGGCACGTGGTTTACCGCCCACCCCATCCATCGCCGGCTTCTGCGCGTGCGCAGTCTCGCGCTCCGACCGCCTACGGAGAGGGGGGGCGATCCTCGCGCGGCGCCTCGGCCGCCTTCGCCAATCGCCGGCGCGTGCCGTGCGCGGCTCCCGATTGGCCGCGCGGTGCCCCCGCGGCAATAAAGCCGGGCCGGCCGCGCCGGGCCTTTGTCTCTCGCCGGGGGCCGAGGGCGGCGGCAGCAGCGGTGAGTGCGCGGCGCGTCCCCATGGCAACGCGGCCGGGCCCGCGGGCCGTCCCCCTCCCTTGCGGCTCACACGGCGGGGCGCTGCCGGCGGCCGGTGGGCCGGGAAGCCCTCCCGGACCACCTCAGAGCCGTGTTTCCGCGCCGCAGCCCGCCGGGGCCCGGGACTGTCGCGGCCGACGTGACCGCCCAGGCACGGGTCGGGCCGAGCTGCTCGGGCCCACAGCTCCCGCCGCGAGCCGTGTGCCCGGGCGGGGCCGGCCGCTCGCAGCCCTCCCTGGTGCTGCCGTGTGGCCCCAGGAGCGAGCGCCTGCCCGGCGGCGTGTGCCAGCCCTGGCTCCTCGGAGCCCCGCCGTGACTCTGCACGGCTGCTCGTGAGCGACGCCTGGGGCTTCGGGAGCCGCGGCCCTGCGCTGCGTGCTGCCGGTGGCGATGGGGCCACTCGGCTTTCCTTGGCCGCGCAGAGCTCAGAGAAGCACTTGGAGAACCAAGGCCTCTTGTCATTCCACCTTTTCCGTTACTGGCCATCGTCCTGTTGAAGCCTCGGCCCCTCACGCAGCACTGCATTGCACGTAGCAGCGCTAGGTGCCTGTCACTGACCCTGCTTGGCGTCCCAGGCACAGCCGACGTGACTGCCAGGGCAGGCACTGGCTCTCCGCTGAACAAAGGCTGTTTGGTATCACTCTGTGTGTCTGATACAATGTTTTCTTTCTCAGCCCTGACTTGCCCCTTGTCTGTTCTCATAGCTAGGGTGAGAAAATAGGTTCTTGCTGGGCTGACACAAGTGCCACCACCACAGGGCAGCACTGGACAAGGTCTTTGAGGTCACCAGGAGCTTCCTTTGGTCAGTTTGTTGAGTTGCTGGGCTGCAGCTCTAGAAGACAGAAGTAGTGTTTGTGTGGGCACTGCTAGAAGTGTCTGGGACTTGAATTACTGCCTAAATTTAGGCTGTGTCCAGGTGAAATCTTCAACTTACCTGGGATCAGGTAATATGGTAATTTAGTCTGAGGTTCCATTTCCAGCAGCAGCCAGTGCCAAATCCCTCACCAGAAGGAGGTGGAGATGAGAATCTCCTGCTGGGATTGCCAGGTAACCTCTGGGATGATTCTTCAAGCCTCCAGGCCTGGAGTTCTGAGGTTTGTTTCTGCTGCAGTGATGGCAGGTCCAGCCACACTCTGAGCTCTGTGTGTGGGGAAATGCCTTGAAGTTGCATGCAAGTTAAACAGCAGATATGAACTCTGTACTTCCTGTGAGTTACCAAACTTCTCCCAGAGTGCCCAATCAAATCTAGGCTTTCCAGTGCTCCTTCCCTGCAGCAGCAGTGTCTTCTTCCTTCAAAAGGCTTGGATTAAATTTGGATTAAATGTCTTCCTACCCTGAGAAGAACAGCTGTGCATCTGGGGCGTGCAACTTGGTGAAGAGATGTGTGTAGGGACAAACTGTACTCATCTAGATAAGGTGGTGGTGTTTTCTTAGGGAGTTTGAACACTGTCATTGGGAAAGAAATGTTTGGAATGCTGAGGTGTCCTGTACCAAACCTCCTCCCCACTCTCCAGCCCTGCTATCCCAAGTTGGATTGCTCCCAGGCAGGCTGTGTCTGGGCACTGGGAGGTACCCTGAACATCAGCCAGCTCCTGGATGAGCAGAGCTCCCTGCAGCAAATGAAATGGCATTCCAGCCTCTGCAGAGGAGGTGGCACTGCCTGATCCTCCTCCTTGGCGTGTGGGACGTGCCCCCTTTCAGAGGAGCAGAGAAACCAGGGCTGTGACCACAAACTGGGGCTTGCAGTTGCCAGTTTTTGAGTAAAAGCAATGGTGTGTGGTGATGTGAGACACAGTGGCTCTGCCTGCCTTTCCTCCCAGTTCTGCAGTGGCCCAGCACAGGGGAGGATGGGCTTTGTGCTGACTTGTCTTGTTGGGGATGTGTCTGTGCTAGAGACTATATTGGGAAAATCTCAGCTTCCACATTTTCCTGCAGAGTTCTGCCCTCACCTGGGGCTACAGGGACTGGTGTTACCAGTGCCACAGAGAAGAACTTGTCAGGCTGGGCCCTGCAAAACAGGCCAGGGGAAACACAAGTATGAGAACATGCCAAAGGCCTTCAGTGACTTTTTGCATGGTAACCCCTGCTCCCAGCAGCAGACTGTGCTCCTGGGACAGTCATTCACCATTCCCATCAGCTGGGCTTCTACAGCACCACTGACAGGGTTGGGTGGAGGCTTCTGGGGCCCCGCTGGGTTCCCTGTGTGAGCACGAGCGTGCTCAGGCTGTGGCAGTGGAGGCTCTGGTGAGTGAGCAGGGGTGATGATCTCAGGGCCACCTTTGGCCATGGGGAACCCTGAGCCACTGCTGCTGTTAACCACTGATTTTGAGGCCTGACCTGGTGTGTTCCTTTGGGCTGGATTTGGTGTCAGCCTTCAGGCCTCTCCCAAGGGATGAGTGTGGCTCAAGTGCTCTGTAGCTCTGCTCTCATCAGCTGCTTTGTACCAGTGGCTGTTTCAGCCATGTGGAGACAGCACACCTCACCTCCAGGACTCTGGCTTTCTGAGAGTCTAAGATAAATTGGAACTAATTTGTCTAGTTTCCTTTTGGAATTGCATCTCCTGAGAAGGTCCTGGGCTGCCATGAGCAGAGCAGGCAGGGTGTCACAGAGCTGGTGCCACTGGCAGGTGGCAAGTGTGCTGTTCCTCCTGTGCCCATGACAGGCTCCTGGCTGAGCTCAGCTGGCTCATTTGCCTTTGTGCTTTGGCTTCCCTTCCCCACACTGGTCATTTCCCCACTCTGAAGCTGTGAGGAGTGAAGGTGGGTCCCTGAGTTGGGCTACCTAGTGAGTGATCACATAGCACAGCACCTGAAGCTGGATTCTGGCCTGGCCTCTATCCTGGGGTGGGGAGGCTGCATGGTGCCATGTCAAGGGAGAGGGGCTGCCACCCCATGTGACCCTGAATGACTTCTGTCCCAGCCCTGGGCTCCTGGCATCACAAAACAATGGACTTGGTCAGTCTTCCCCTGGGGAAGGCTCTGTCCCAGGAAACATAAAGATTCTGTGATCACAGGGGAAACCTTGACTGGTGGTGAGTCCCCCAGACCAGGCTGTGCCTGAGCTGGGGCAGCCTTGGGCTGCACCTGAGGATGGGGCTCAGCCCTGGCTCCTGGTTGGAGTGTGAAGAGCACTGAACAGGCTGTGAAACAGGCTGAGAAACTCTGGGGTGAGGAGCTGGAGAGCAATTAATTTCTAACTGGTGTGAGCTGCTGTGCCAGTGCTGGCCCTGTGCTAACCAGCTGCTTGTTGGCTCTCCCAGTCCCCAGCCGTGGGCTGAGCAGTGAATCCATGGATGCAGCCCAGCAATGGGGGCTGAACTGAAGTGGGGAGCACGAGGATGGCTCCCTTGGTGGGTGTTTTCTGAAGAGCCAGCATCAGCTTGGCTCCTTGCTCCTCTCCCAAGGCTGCCTGAAAGGTGGTGGTGGTGTTGCTCTGCACAAAGCTGATTACAGGTCCATTTTATAAATGAGCTGCCTGGATTTCTGTGCTCAGCCAGTGTAATCCAGGTGTGTCTCGTCCCTGCTCCTGGGTAAGGCTTTGTGCATCCTGTTACATCCAAGGAGATTTTATTTCCTCTTGCAGATGAGGAGGAGGAACTCAGTTACTTATGGGATTTGAAGTAAATTCTGCCAGGCAGGAGAGGAGGATGTGAGTGGGAGCAGGAGCTGTCTGCAGCTCACTCTGCTTGGAGAGTGGCCCAGGAAAGGCAGAGCAGCGAAATCTGCCCCTGCTTTGGAAGTTCCTCTATTCTGTCAGGGGGAATGTTCTTGTTTCCCCTGTGAGCTGCCTGACTTCAGAGCTCAGCTGGCCTAATTCACCACTGCATACTTCAGGGAAGTTTTGTACTTGTACATGTAGCTTGTTCTTCCTCTTGAGTGAAGAAGAGGGGCTTCCCTTTCCAGTTACTCTGCTCAGAGTGGGACATTGGGGGAAATACTTGGTAGCACCAGGGGAAAGCAGCCTGCTCACAAGTCCAGTGCAGATTCCCAACATGAAGGTCTCATCTTCAGCCAGGAGCCATCCTGGAGGGGGAAACAGAATGCAGGCTGCTGTGTTTAATGTTTTGTGAACTGGTGTCAGTGTTGAGTTCACTTGAAGTGGCTGAACTGAACAGGCAAATCTGCATCCTTG